GCTGATGCCATTAATCCTTACCTCGCCCTGGAGTGTATTCTCAAGATGAACCGGGAGAAGCTGATCCGCAAGGACATTTCTGATGAGAAGGTCATTCAGAACTACCAGTCTTCTTGCGATGGTGGTATTCTCAAGGTCATGAGTAAGATGGGTATTTCCACTCTTCAGTCCTACAAGGGTGCCCAGATTTTCGAAGCTCTCGGTATCGATGACACTGTCATCGACCGTTGTTTCGCTGGTACTGCCAGTCGTATCCGTGGTATCACCTTTGACCTGATTGCCGAGGATGCTTTTGCTTTCCACGAGCGCGGTTATCCTTCACGTCCCATTATTGAAATCCCTGGTCTTCCAGAGTCCGGAGAATATCACTGGCGTGATGGTGGTGAGGCCCACATCAACGACCCCGTCAGCATTGCCAACATGCAAGATGCCGTTCGCACAAAGAACGACAAGTCTTATGAGGCCTATGCCAAGGCAGAGCATGAGCAGATTAAGAACTGCACTCTGCGTGGAATGCTCGACTTCGACTTTGAGCAGCGGACTCCTATTCCCATTGACCAGGTCGAACCCTGGACTGAGATCGTCCGTCGCTTTGTGACTGGTGCCATGTCCTACGGATCCATTTCCATGGAATCCCACTCCACACTCGCCATTGCCATGAACCGTTTGGGCGGCAAGTCCAACACTGGTGAGGGTGGTGAAGACCCCGAGCGCAGCAAGAGAATGGAGAACGGTGACACCATGCGCTCTGCCATTAAGCAGATTGCCTCTGGCCGTTTCGGTGTTACATCAAACTATCTGGCAGATGCCGATGAGCTGCAAATTAAGATGGCGCAGGGAGCGAAACCCGGTGAGGGTGGTGAACTGCCCGGCCACAAGGTGGTCGGCCCGATTGCTCGCACTCGTTTCTCCACACCGGGTGTTGGTCTCATCTCCCCACCTCCCCACCACGACATCTACTCCATTGAAGATCTTAAGCAGCTCATCTACGATCTTAAGTGCTCCAACCCGCGCGCTCGTATCTCCGTCAAGCTCGTTTCTGAAGTTGGTGTCGGTATTGTCGCCTCTGGTGTGGCCAAGGCCAAGGCTGACCATATCTTGATCTCTGGTCACGATGGTGGTACTGGTGCCTCGCGATGGACTGGTATCAAGTATGCTGGTCTTCCGTGGGAGCTGGGTCTCGCTGAAACCCACCAGACTTTGGTTCTGAACGATCTTCGTGGCCGCGTGGTGGTCCAGACAGATGGTCAAATCCGTACTGGTCGTGACTTGGCTATCGCCTGTCTACTCGGTGCTGAGGAATATGGCTTTGCGACTACTCCTTTGATCGCAATGGGTTGCATCATGATGAGGTTTGTAACCCAAATACCTTTGAGATATGATCGAAACTAACTATCTGATACAGAAAATGCCACTTGAACACCTGTCCCGTTGGTATAGCAACCCAGGATCCCGAGCTTCGCAAGAAGTTCCAGGGTACGCCTGAGCACGTCATCAACTTCTTCTACTATGTTGCAAACGAGATGCGTGCTATTATGGCCAAGCTGGGTGTCCGCTCGGTTAACGAGATGGTCGGCCGTGCTGAGCTGCTCAAGACTCGGGATGACATTCGGAATGCCAAACAGGAGCGTGTGGACCTGTCACTTATTTTGACTCCTGCTCACTCTCTTCGCCCTGGTGTCGCTACCTACAACGTTCGGAAGCAGGACCACCGTCTCCACACTCGCCTGGACAACAAATTGATCGCAGAATCAGAGCTCGCTTTGGAGAAGGGACTTCCTTGTCGCATTGAGTGTGACATTGTCAACACCGACCGTGCCCTCGGTGCCACCCTCTCTTACCAGATCAGCAAACGCTACGGCGACAATGGTCTTCCGCAGGACACCATCCATGCAAACATCAAGGGATCTGCTGGCCAGTCCTTTGGTGCTTACCTTGCTCCGGGTGTCACTCTTGAGCTCGAGGGTGACGCCAACGACTACGTCGGTAAGGGTCTGTCCGGTGGTCGTCTCATCGTCTACCCACCGCGCGGCGCCGCTTTCAAGGCTGAGGAGAACGTCATCATTGGTAACACCTGTCTTTACGGTGCTACTCGCGGAACTTGCTACTTCCGCGGTATGGCTGCTGAGCGTTTTGCTGTTCGTAACTCTGGTGCTACTGCAGTTGTTGAGGGCGCGGGTGATCACGGATGTGAGTACATGACCGGTGGCCGTGTCCTTGTCCTCGGACCTACCGGTCGTAACTTTGCTGCTGGTATGTCTGGCGGTATTGCATACGTGCTGGACATGAACCAGGACTTCCACTCCAAGGTCAACTTGGAGATGGTGGAGGTATCTGGCATCGAGGACCCGTCCGAGATCGCCTTTGTTCGCGGCTTGATTGAGGATCATCACCACTACACTGGCTCCGAGCTGGCTGCTCGTATTCTGCTTGACTTTACCCGTGCTCTGCCTCACTTTGTCAAGGTTCTGCCCATTGACTACAAGCGTGTCATGGAAGAGGAGGCTGCCAAGACGCAAGCTGCGAAGAAGGCCGAGTTCTCTCTTCCTCAGCTTCCTAGTACCCCGGTCAAGGCAGAGAAGGCCAAGGCGGATGGCGACAAGAAGACCGACTTGCTTGATATCGAAGATAGCATCAGCGACTCTAAGACTGAGAAGAAGCGGTCCGCGCTGATTCTGGACAAGACAAGAGGTTTCATGAAGTACAGCCGCCGCAGCGAGAAGTACCGCAACCCTACTACCCGTACTCGCGACTGGGGTGAGATTTCCAACCGCCTGAGCGAGGACGAACTCAAGTATCAATCTGCTCGTTGCATGGACTGTGGTGTTCCCTTCTGTCAGTCTGACACTGGTTGCCCCATCTCCAACATCATTCCCAAGTGGAATGAATTGGTCTTCCAAGTATGTGTGCCTTCCAAGCTCAACGTTAAGAAAACATATCGCTAACTTGAGATTTACCAGAATCAATGGCAGGATGCTTTGAACCGTCTGCTCATGACCAACAACTTCCCTGAATTCACTGGTCGTGTCTGCCCTGCCCCTTGCGAAGGCTCCTGTGTTCTGGGTATCAACGAAGACCCCGTTGGTATCAAGTCCATCGAGTGTGCTATCATTGATCGTGGATTCGAGATGGGCTGGATGGTCCCTCGTCCTCCCAAGATTCGCTCCGGCAAGACCATTGCCATTATTGGATCTGGTCCTGCTGGTCTCGCCGCTGCCGACCAGCTTAACCGTGCTGGCCACAGTGTCACTGTCTACGAGCGTGCTGATCGTATGGGTGGTCTTCTCATGTATGGTATCCCCAACATGAAGCTCGATAAGAAGGTTGTCCAGCGCCGCGTTGATCTCATGGCTGCCGAAGGTATCAAGTTCGTTGCCAGCACTGCTGTTGGTCCAGACTGCGAGGTTTCTCTCCAGTCTCTTCGTGCCAGCAACGACGCTGTCATCATTGCCACCGGTGCCACCGTCGCTCGTGACCTTAAGGTCACTGGCCGTGAGCTCGATGGCGTGCACTTCGCCATGCAGTTCCTGCACAAGAACACCAAGTCTCTTCTTGACTCTGGACTTTCGGATGGCGAATACATCTCTGCCAAGGACAAGCACGTCGTCGTCATTGGTGGTGGTGATACCGGAAACGACTGTATCGGTACCTCAGTCCGCCACGGTGCCAAGTCGGTGACCAACTTCGAGTTGCTGCCTCAGCCTCCTCCAGAGCGTGCCCGCGACAACCCTTGGCCCCAGTGGCCTCGTATCTACCGTGTCGACTACGGTCACTCTGAGGTCAAGACACACATGGGCAAGGACCCCCGTGAATACTGTGTCATGTCTACCGAGTTCGTTGATGATGGCAACAACCGCGTCAAGGGCATAAACACCGTTCGTGTTGAGTGGACGAAGAGTGCTACTGGTGGTTGGGACATGAAGACCGTCGAGGGCAGTGAGCAGTTCTTCCCTGCTGACCTTGTTCTCCTCTCCATGGGCTTCTTGGGTCCCGAGGACCGTCTCCTCGGCGAGGAGATCGACCGTGATCCTCGCAAGAATGTCAAGACTCCCCCCGGTCACTACTCGACCAACATTGCCGGCGTCTACGCCGCCGGTGATTGCCGCCGTGGGCAGTCTTTGATTGTCTGGTAAGTTTTCACCCAACCTTATATTCCACATCGCAGCAATAAACTAACTTGGTTCTAGGGGCATCAACGAAGGTCGCCAGTGTGCTCGCGAGGTGGACGCCTTCCTTAGCGGCACCAGCTCCCAGCTTCCTGTAACTGGTGGTATCGTACGCCGTCCTGCCATCGACACCGTTCCCCAGCCTATCGAGACCCAAGTTGTCGCCTAAATTGGGGGCCTACGGGACATGTTTATGACTGACGGCCACGACTATGACCAAAACTTTGAGGAAACGAGAAGTTCTTCAAATGAGATACATCTGTGATTTAGACGGTTTTTTGCTCATGATCGGAGCAGTTCAACAAAAGCCCTGGTACTGCGCTTTTTGATGTTGTTTTCAATTATTCTATTCTTGATTTCTTGTTGTTTGTTTCTGTCCTAGCGTTGTTTTCTTCAAGTCTGCAAGGTATTTAGAGCGTCTACCAACACGGTAATCTCTCTACATTGCTGTAAATAGCCTTTCCATTTCTGAAAATTTGACTCTTTGTTCCATTCTTACTATCAAACTCACCATGAAAGTCGAAGGGAATGCCGTCACAGCTTTAATTATCTCTGAAGAGAGACGGCAGAGGACAGAACAAAGAAATCAAAAGTAAAGTTGTCGACGATATCGTTGTGGCTACTATTTCTGCAGCTTTTCTTTATCAAACTTGCTTGATACCGCCGGCTTTGATGAGTGCCAGCGAAAGTATTTAAGCGTTCTCTTTTCCTCATCTTTCGGTACATTCCAATTCATCAAGCATCCAATCATCCAAGCGTTTAAACATCCACCCCCAGTATCCCATCCAACATCAAGCATCCCAAATTTGTCGATTCGATAGGCTCAATCTCAAAATGCCTGAGGTCACAAGACAAACATCAACAAAGGACGGCGGTGATGAGCCCAGCGATCACCCAAACGGCTTTGTTACTATTCGCGAGATCGATGGTCAGCATGTAAACATGCGCATTTATAATGACGGACGCGTATCGGGAACCTTACCTGATGGAAGCCGGCCAGTATCTCGCAGCGGAACTCCTACCACACGGGGAGGGCACTCTACCGCGTTTAGTGGTGGCAGAATGGGAGCGCTCCGCGGGACGTCAATGAGAACAGGATCTCGTATGAATAGCTCAAGGCATCACCCTTATGGCGGAAGACCGACCCCTCGCAGTGTCCCCGACAATTTCGATCCGACGAACATGCCTCCTTCTGCTCCTTCTCAGACCTCTACTGCTAACCCATCCACCCACATCGTCACAGGTAGAAGGTCATAATAGCGGTACTGGTGGTGCTGGCGGGCCCACGTCGGCACCGACTATGACCATTCCACTTGAACAAGAGTCCGATGATGCCAGAGGAAGAAGACTACAGTCACAGCCAGAGCCGAGAAGTCCTTCATCAAGCCCCAGGCGTAAAGAGCTTAGCAGACGAGTTCCTAACGAGGTAGATAAGATCCACTATAAAGAGCGGAAATTTAACGAGCAACAGGAAAAAGACAGGAGGCACTAACTAATCTGGCTAGAGGGGTTCTGGGAAGGAACATTACCGTGGTCTTTCTATTTCCCTTGTATCATTCGCTTAGATGCTGACACTATCGAGTTGTTCTCTGCAGCAGGTCATGCTTCGCAACTGGGCTTTTATACATGCACATCGGCTACTCACAGGTTCCAGGAACATATCTATATAAGTCTGTTTGACTTGTTCTTTTGTTACCCAGAGACATGTATTTGCCATGTCTTTGAGCTCTTTGATTTTCGTTTATACGAGTGTCTCATGAAGAGATTCTGTGGCTGGACTTCGATAAATTCTTCAATCTTGTGTTTTAGCGTGGCATTCTGGAGCGTCGCATAGCATTGGAGCGGTTTTCTCTGTTGTTTATACAGTGGTGCAATTCAGGGATTTTGTTTCAGTTCAACTATTCGAACAACCGTGTAGATTTTGTATAGAAACCCCTAACTTGAATATAGATGGAAGGATATGTAGAAAGATCTAAGTGGGGATATGAACTCTGAAACCAATTGACTGTTGAGTCGTCTACAGTTTCTACAAACAAAGAAATCTCAAACACTGGGAGAATCGAGAAGGTCATATTATACATGAGTGGATAAAAAAGAGGAATAATATCTACATATTGTAACAAGGGATAAAGACAAGGGGTATCATGAAGCCGCCTTTTGTCTCGCCTCCTCCTCTTCGGCCTTCATTTCCCGCTCCAAGGCGGCAAAGTCCCCCTTAAACGAGTCCCGAGCCGGTTCCAGCCGTACATCCCAGACATCCTCACTACTAGGACCAGTCTTATACTTGATGGCCTTCTTTCGGTTGTGGTCCAGGATCGCCTTCTTGCGCAGATTCTCAGGCCATGTGCGCGTCTTCATGCACAGCCACAGATTATCCCAGTGATCGCTGCAGGACCGTAGTTCTCCATATCGGTAAACATTCACGAACTGCCCTCCGAAAGACTGGCAGAAGAAGGCGTAGTCAAAGGCGTTGCGGCAGGACATGGTATCTTGATAGAGGGATTCGGGAGCGATGGGCGATGTAGGTGTTTCGGGTTGTGTTGAGGCATTGCCATCAGATGTGAGACCACTAGAGGTACCCCTCGAAAGGGCAGCATCCTCTGCTCTGAGGTCGGCGAGGATTGAGTTCCATTCCAGGTCGGCTTGTTCGTTGGGAGTCAGGGTCTTCGGTGGTGCATTCTGCTTTTGTGGTTCGGCAGGTGTCATGGATGGAGAGTCCTTGGATGTGTCACTAGGTCTTGAGCCCCATAGCCAGCCCATTTTGCGCCGTACAATAGACCAGGTGTGATTGATGGATGTCGCGACAAGTTGACTGCGGTTATCTTTTCCCGTAATCAAACATCACGTGATCGATAACAAGCCCCATCATCAAGAACACGACGTCATTCATATGCAGTTGATCGATTTAGACACTGAATCTCTTCCAAGAAGTTTTTTCTCACATCGGCATGTCTCTGTCAAGATGAGACAGGCACCCTTCACAAGAGTTCCCTTGGCGGCTTGCTCTCCACGCTCTCATATCAACGCCAATGCGTTTGGCCGAGGGTGGAGACCTCCGCTTTGGGGACGCTCGACAATACGTTGCACATCTTCTGTCCAGTCAGGACATATTTCACGAGGAGAGAATGAAGGAATAATCTACGTGAATAGTATGCACTGTAACTGTCCATGCTTCTATTTTCTTTCGCTGACCATCCCTAGATATCTTTCCGCATCGGTTACAATGGTTCCTACGGGGACCCCTCAGCCACGTACAGCCTCTTGAAGGCATATTGACACGGATCAACAAGCCCGGACTGGCAGCATCTGATCCGCTTCGAATTGTTCAAAGGGCACTGCCTAAAGGCTTGGATCTGGAGATCAAAGAGGTTGTCACGAGGTATAAAGAAGGCGGTGCATTCGTGAAGTATGCGCGCAAGCCAGATGTGGATGACGAGTCTATCCAGAACGCAGTCAAAGAACATCTACAAAAGAATCCTATCAATCCTTGGTTCAATCCATTCCAGAGGGTTGATGCGGACCTCGTGCGTGGAATACCGTGGATCGAAGACCTTTATCGAATTCCAAGCCAGACCATCAAGGTGGAATTCCTGTCTACTTCTCCCGATACCTCAGCTGCCGAGCTAACCCAAGAATCTCTGTACTCGCTGTTTCGCCCATATGGAAAGCTTCTGGATATTCAACCCCAACCTTCCGACTCCAAAGTGGAACCTCGGTATGCGACTCTGCGATTCGGACGACCTCGGTTTGCTGTCATGGCAAGAAACTGTATGCATGGCTTTATTGTTTCCGAAGAAGCTGGCGGTGGGAAATCCGGTACAAGGTTCAAGATCAATTATGAACGCAAGATCAAGCTGTCTATGATCAAGGACTGGATCCTGAACCATCCAAGAATAGTTATTCCCGCTTTAGCTGCCTTGGTTGCCACCATCACAGTCATTATCTTTGATCCGATTCGCACATTTTTCATCAAACTCAAAATCAAGTCGACATTCCAACATGAGGAGAACCCAATCTTGCAATGGGTTCGCGCACAGGCCAGCAAAGCCAACATGTTCTCTTTTGGAAAGAATAAATCCGATCCGCGTGGCCTAGCAGCAATCTGGGAAGACCGACAAAAGGATATCTCACAGCTGCAAGCCTGGTTAACTGAGACTGCGGAAACATTTATCGTCATTCATGGGCCACGGGGCTCGGGTAAACGCGAGTTGGTCTTGGAACAGGCGCTGAAAGAGCATAAGTACAAGGTTGTGATTGACTGCAAGCAAATCCAAGATGCTCGAGGCGACACGGCTAAGATCTCGCGAGCGGCGGCCCAGGTCGGCTACCGACCGATTTTCTCTTGGATGAACAGTCTCAGCAGCTTAATTGACCTGGCTGCACAGGGTATGATTGGTACCAAGGCTGGATTCTCTGAGACACTCGATGCGCAGCTGAGCAAGATCTGGCAGAACACAGCTGTTGCTATGAGGCGGGTTGCTTTGGAAGGAAGACGCAAGGAGGACAAAGATTTCAATGTGTCCGAGGATGAATACCTGGAGGGTCACCCGGAGAAACGACCTGTTGTCGTCATTGATAACTTCATGTATGATGCAGACAACAGTGTTGTGCTCGACAAGATGACTCAGTGGGCGGCTGGTCTGACCTCAGCTAATATTGCACATGTCATCTTTTTAACAACTGACTCTTCCTTTGCGAAGCCTTTGAGCAAGGCCCTCCCTAATCAAGTGTTCCGCACAATTGGTCTAGGTGACTGCTCACTCGATGTTGGCCGTCGTTTCGTTCTAAGTCATCTGGACGCAGCGGCAGGCGAGGGTGACAAAGAGCAGGATGCGAGACGCAAGGAAACACTTCATGGCTTGGATTCTTGCATTAAGGTACTGGGCGGCCGGGTTACTGACCTTGAGTTCATGGCTCATCGGATTGAAGCCGGCGAGACTCCTGAAGGCATGTATAAATTTTGTTTCGGCTGAGAACGCTTCTAACAATCAATATAGCTGCTGTGAACCGTATCATTGAGCAATCGGCATCGGAGATTTTGAAAATATTCATCCTGGGTACAGACTCGGTTACACCTCAGTGGACTCGTGAACAAGCGTGGCATCTGATAAAGTCCCTGGCCCGCTCCAAGGACGGTACTCTACTGTACAACAAAGTCCTTCTCTCTGATCTATTCAAAGATAATGGCGAGGCCACTCTGCACGCTCTGGAGCAATCAGAGCTCATCTCTGTGGGAACTGATAAGGGATTCCCACGATACATCAAGCCCGGAAAGCCGGTATATCGCGCTGCTTTCCAGCGCCTAGTCGAGAACAAGACTCTACAGGGTCGTCTTGACATGTTGATTCTTGCACGGCTTATGAGCAACGAGAACTCGAGTATCAGCAAGTATGAGCAGGAACTACAGATCCTCGGTTCTTTGCCAAAGTATCCCTGGGAGCTCACTTCTAGGATTGAGTGGCTTCTACGCAAGGTTCATGGATCGCAAGCCAAAATCCTCAAGTATGAGAGCGAGAGCGCTGCGCTGTCGAAGATCCTGCAGAATGAGAACTGAATTTGGTTTCTGTCTATGTCTCATCTCAATATTACCTCTCAACTATTCGTCTTACTGAACCATCTCGCCATCGTATTGCCTCGTTGAGTGTCTAGTATGAAACTATGCAGCTGCTTGTTATCCGAATTTTAGCTTCTGAGTATGGGTCCGCGGCCTACAGCCGAGACCTGTACATCGAAAACAAATCGGCGTCTCTTCTTCTTGTCAGGAACCAATTACTGAATTCTTCTTTCAACTACTTCAGTCAATCATTGCTTCCCTGGACTTATTATGCGGGCTATTATATCAGAGCCTAGTCTATCAATACCTTTCGGTCAGCTCTGCGAAGGTGTTTAAATATATCTCCCCTTTGAAGCCCAGCTTTCTGGCTCCACATTTCACTCTCAATAACACACTTTTTACATAAGCCAAACTACCCACCTGCAGTCACCACTTTTGGACGATATTGAAAACGTCACAGATGTGGGGTGTATACATCTAAGTATTTGGATGATAGCAATGGCCGAACCAACAAAGGAAGACTATGCACGGTAAGACATTTCCTGTCTTATTACGAGGGCAAACTTCTAACCACTTCATAGTATTTATAGGAAGATTGACCGTCGAATTCTGCCCTTGGTGGCTTTGACTTACCTCTTGTGTTATCTGGACCGAACCAACATCGGTGAGAACAACGAGTCTCCTCTGTATCCTTGTATAAAACTCACATTCTGTAAGGGAATACAAAAGTCCTCAATAGCGACACAGATGATGATCTCATGTATTCGATTGATATGACTGATCATCATCGTGTTACTTTATGTTATTTTTGGTGGCCTATTCCTTATTCGAAGCACCGAGTAACTTGGCAATGAAGGCACTATTTCCTCCAATGTAAACATTTACTTAAAGCTTGATCACTGGGGTTGTTATTTACCAGCATCTCATTAGATGCTTAGGGTTTTTGGTCATTTGTTTCGGTTCCCTTTGTGCAGGGATTGGAAGTTCCAAGAATGTCCCAACTATCATCCCTCTTCAGTTTCTCCTAGGAGCAGCTGAAGCCGGTGTCTACCCTGGAATAATCTTCTTTCTCAGCTTCTGGTATGGCCACGAGAACGGGCCATCCGAATCGCCATCTTTTTTCGTAGCGTCACTCTGGCAGGCGCCTTTGGGAGTATGAGCATATCCATGTTCGAACTACCTAACACTCGTCGCTGATGCTTTCAGGTGCTATCGCTTATGGGGTAGGATATATGAACCAGGCTGGTAGTCTAGAGGCAAGGCGATGGTTGTTCATCATCGAGGGCTTACCATGTATAATTTTGGCTGTCGCCGTTTCCGAGTTACCCAGAGAAGGCAGAGTGGCTCACTGCTAAAGAAAAGTCTATTCTGCAAGCCTCATTTGGTCAGAATATCCCTCGAGGGTAAGGCATTTTCACCAATTTCGATGCAAAGGCTGAGCTGGAAATGCAGTGATGACTCGCTTAATTGGAATGATGCCAAATGTACCTTGAAAGAAGCCCGTCGGTGGATGCACTACTTCACTTATCTTTGTGTTGGCATTGGTGTCTCCTCTCTATCGCTGTCTGCACTCACACTCGTTCATGGGATTGGCCATACTGGGCTCGATGCACACAGCTCTTTACCATTCCTCCTTGTGCATGTGCACATGTGGTAAGTCTCATAGAGGCATACGTATAGGACAAATATGGATGTTGTGGGTTAGTGGCTGCTGTGTTTTACTTTACGGCATTTGCTACGTTTCTCATCCCAGACAAAGAGATCATGTCTCGCTTCATACTTCATACCAAAAATCCCTACTAACCGTACCTTCTGAAGCCTGTGTCCCAAGCCCAGGTCTTCATCTTCGATACGCTATGCTTGTGCTCTGTATATGCTCTGTTTTTGGAGAATTGCCCGCAATATATGCATGGGTTTCAGATAATGTTCACAGCGCCACTGCAGCATCATTAGCAAGTGGTCTCAATATTGCGTTCACCGGACCAGGTCAGATCATAGGCGTGTGGATCTATCAAGTTCAACAGCCCTCTCGTTATCAGACTGTTCATTCTGTGAATGCTGCTAGTCAATTTCTTGCAATGGCGTTCGCATTGGGTCTCTGGTGCTATTATCGGCGACGGAATGCTAAACATGCTCCGGGTGAGCAGAAGTGGATTCCTTGATTTGATTCAGATGTTTTATGTGCCCCAGTAAGGCTTTAGATTGTCAACTAGCAGTGCTGATCTCTTAGTTAAGAAACGCTTTCTGTTAGCTAGGAGATGGGTTGTCTGCTCACAATATATTGTGACTTCGGTCTTGCATACATGTGAGCTAGATCGGAACACCGACTTCAAAGTACTATTCACATCTTCATTCAACTCGAATTCTACATCACTAAATAGGGAACAATTAACGTTTTGGCAAATAAAACCATCAGTTCAAATTATCAAAATGTCCAAGTGAGACCTCAGGCTACCAAGATGAGTCAGCAAGGGAAAGAACTCAACCGCGCCATCGTGTCCCTTTCATCGCCTGAATCAATTCATATTTGAGAGTCTTGGAATTCAATATTTACCTGTTCCTGGCCAACTTCTGTGAACTTCGAGACTTGCGCGAGCGTGGGAGTTGGAACACCGTGTCATCTCGGATGGCAGTGTTTGTTATTGACAATCCATATTATCACCATGGAGTATGAAACCTCACCCAATGGTCTTTTACAGAGCGCCCGAAATGGGTTGCCTCATGTAAATGTAAATTGGCCTACATTCTTTGCTGTTGTTGTTTTCGCATGCATCACGACCCGTTTTGTCTCGGGGCTTCAAAGTCAGCGCCGCGATCAAGACCCTTCGAAACCAAGGGCAGTGCTATTAGCGCCCTACTGGTTCCCTTGGATTGGACATGGATTTTCTTTCTTGTGCAATCATGTCAACTTCTTCATGAGAACACGGTAGGTGTATTCAATCTTTACCTTATTCTGCACAGTTGCTAATAATAGCTTATAGAGAATCCATGAATGAGCCTGTTTTTGGCCTCTATTTGCGCGGCGAGAAGCACAATGCCGTGCTCTCACCACATATGATGAAGACCGTCTTCTCCGCAGAGGATGCTTCGAGTGCTCATGTCCTCGATCAGGCGTTGCAAAATGTCTTTGGCGACCGCAGTCTCACGCGCAAATTGAAACTGGCTCAAAACCAAGGTATCAGTGATAATGCCACTTCGATTATCAATGGAAAGCCTTTTATCACTGAAGCTTCATCCGCAATCACTCGCTTGGTGCAAGGTAACATGCCGAACTTGGTGAGCTTCTGCCGTAGCCTTGTTGACCAGAACCCCTGGGAGCGTGGAAGCAGTCAGGTAGAGCTACCTGATGAAGGAGATCAATCATTCTGTGAAGCGAACTTGTTTGCTCTTGTGAGCAATTTCGTCGGCCACATCACCACTACCTTTCTGATGGGCGATGCTTTTGTAGAAGCGTTCCCTGGTTTGTCGGAAGATCTTGGCACTCTTGATAGCAGCTATGTGACGCTATTTATTGGTACTCCTCGTTATATACCACACCCTTCTGCTTCAGCAGGTCATGCGGCGCGTGATCGGCTCCGTCATATCATGTCCATCTTTCACCGAGCTCTCGTCGCTTGGGACGACGGGATTGATCCCGGCATTGAACTACGGGATCTTGACGATGCTTCAGAGCTAGTCAAAGATCGGATGCGAACTTTCTGCAAGCTGGAGCTTTCCCCTGGTGCCAGTGCTGCCGGACACTTGTCCTTGTATTATGAGCTGATCGAGCACACAAGCAAGATCGCTTTCTGGACAATCACCCACCTATTCTCAGATCCTCCGCTCCTTGAGCAGGTCCGCAAGGAAATATCCTCTTACGTGGTAGCTTCTCGACCAAGCCGCCAAGAGACTGGGTTCCCATTCGATGAACCCCCTCGGCTCAGCCTCGATATCGAGAAAGTACTCGAATATTGCCCGTTGTTCAGGGCGTGCTACTACGAAACTGTGCGTCTTCACTCTGCAGGAGTCACTTCCAAAAAACTGGCATCCGACATTACACTTTCCGAGTCGGCAGAAGAAGCCGCCTACGGCCTGACTGAACCTCGCACCTACACAATTCGCAAAGATGAGAAGATCATCCTTTCACACGGCGCCTATCATCATGATCCTCGATACTTCTCCAACCCAGATCAATACGACCCTCTTCGGTTCCTTGTAACAGACCCTGCAACGGGCAAACAGCGAGCTGATCTAAATATCCTTGCTCCATTTGCGGGCGGGCTATATGGAACTACGAATGGTGCTTTCATTGAGAGAACCATCCTGATTTTTACCGCTGGAGTTGTGGCAATGTGGGAGATTGAGCCCAAGAGTGGTAAATCTCTCGCAGTGCCCGGGCACAAAATTAGCTGGGGAGCTTTCCGACCGACGAAGGAGCTGAGGGTGAAGATGAAGTCTAGGGTGTAAATCGCATTTAGACCCACATTGCATAGAGCCAGGATTACAACAGTAATTCAATATTTGACTCCATTTAGGATTTTATACTTCCTCGGCTCGGATTAATATCCGGGTCGGGCTTGCACCGATGACACAATCCACTAAGAGGAGGGGAATATATAAGCCATTGTTGTTGGTCTTTGTGGTATCTTGTAATTGTTTCAAATCTCGACAATGGAGAATGATGAAGAACCCAACAGAGATTATGATCTCACAACCCCAATCACTTCCACTTCGGGACTTCGTCAGGGCCTAACCTCCTATGGGGATGCACACTTCTCGCTTTTCCTTCGCAAAGTATTTATTAAGGCACTTGGATATTCAGAAGATGCGTTATCACGCCCAATTGTGGGAATAATCAACACTTTCTCTGGTTACAACCCCTGCCACGCCAATGTGCCCCAGCTCATCGAGGCTGCTAAGCGCGGCGTGCAGCTCAATGGAGGACTGGCGATAGAATTTCCTACTATCAGCGTTGCTGAGTCCTTCTCAGCTCCGACTAGCATGTTTTTAAGGAATCTCATGAGCATGGATACCGAGGAGATGATACGGGCTCAGCCATTGGATGCGTGTATCATGATCGGGGGTGAGTATCTACATTTATGTCGTCTTGATAGCGCCTTGGCATCATTATTGACGTATATCAGGATGTGATAAGACGGTTCCAGCACAGCTGATGGGTGGTATTTCTGCCAACAAGCCGGTTCTACCTTTGATCACCGGCCCCATGATGCCAGGGAGTCACCGCGGACAGCGTATTGGTGCCTGCACTGACTGCCGAAACAATTGGGCAGCATTCAGAGCAGGCGAGATTGATGTTGAGGAGATCTCAGCAATTAATGAAGAGCTTGCTCCGACGGTATGTGCAGGGAGAGTTACCTCGGCAAAGACGAACCTACCTTGTCAGCTAACGTCAGCCAATATCCCTACAGATAGGGACATGTGGTGTCATGGGCACTGCTAGTACAATGGCTTGTGTCACTGCTGCCCTAGGTATGATGCCACTCAAGGGTGCGTCTGCACCAGCAGTGTCATCAGCCAGACTGCGAATTGCAGAGGAAACAGGTGCAAATGCAGTTGCAATTGCCAAATCCCAAAGAAGACCCCAGGAGATTTTGACGAAGGAATCATTCTGGAATGCTATCACAGTTCTCCAGGCCATTGGTGGCTCAACGAATGCGGTGGTTCATTTGTTGGCCATTGCCAATAGGCATCCAGAGCTTCAGGGAGTAATCACTCTTGACACTTTTGAAGAAATCGGACGCAGAACCCCACTGCTGATTGATCTCAAACCGAGTGGAGATAACTATATGAACGACTTCCACAACGCAGGAGGCATGATGGCCCTCTTGCAAGTGCTTCGGCCTTTGCTTCATTTATCTGCCTCGACGATCACCGGGCAAACATTGGGCGAGGTCTTAGATGCATCTCAGACCAAACAACTTTACTTCGCACAGCAGATCATTCGGCCAATGTCCGATCCGCTATTTCCCTCATCATCGTTGGTCGTCCTTCGCGGCAACCTTGCTCCAGATGGAGCGGTTATCAAAGCCTCGGCATCCAAGTATAGACATCTGCTCTCCCATACTGGACTGGCTGTAGTGTTCGAGAACTCAGCCGATCTTGCCAAGCGCATCGACGATCCGGACCTCGCGGTTACGAAGGATAGCGTGCTTATCCTGAAAAACATTGGTCCGGTTGGCAACCCCGGTATGCCCGAGGCTGGCCTTATACCGATCCCAAAGAAGCTAGGAGAAGCAGGAGTCAAAGATATGCTGCGTCTGTCTGATGGTCGAATGTCAGGAACGGCCGGTGGTACCATCATTCTTCATATCTCGCCCGAAGCTGCGCTGCCAGATTCCCCATTTGGTGCAGTGGAGACGGGGGACTTAATCATCTGCGATATCGAGACTCGCAAGCTGCAATTGGATGTCTCTGATTCAGTATTGCAGGCTCGTATCGAAAAACGCAAACAGGTCCTTGCAGGGGATGTGCAGACGCGAAAGCAGCGGAGAGGATACCGGGGGTTGTATGAGCGGTCGGTGAACCAAGCTCAGGAAGGAGCAGATTTTGATTTCTTGACTGCTGGAGGTGCCAATTAGTAGAAACAATCTGAAACTAAATGAATGAATCTATTGAAATGCATACCTCCAGTCTAGGGACAGAGGCCCTTACCCTGAGCCCTGAGCCCTATTTTGTTTCCAAATCGGGTTAAATCAAGGCGCGTCACGCGGACGCGTCGGGGGTCCCTGGCCTTTGCGATCCACCAGGTTGGGATCGAGGCTCCTCCAGACTTGTTGACTGCAACTTCAATTATCTACGTCAGATCTCGTTAGAGATGAGTTTTGACGCTCTTCGCCCGCGGGGGCGACCAGCCCGTAAGCTATTCGGATGAGCCTGTCGGCGATACCTGTTAACAACGCGCTCTACAGACACTCCCGGTACAACAGTATTGACATACACGCCCGACGGCCGACGGATCATCACTGGCGGTTCGAATTCCGCAATTCGCATCTACACGGTCGGCGAGGATGGCGAGCCCAAGACCATTGACGAGGGTGTCGACGCGCATTTCGGTATCGGTGCTACGGTAGGTTGGAGATTCCGCGGTCTCGCTAATTCGGCTGACAAGGTCACCAGAATGGGTCTTTCATCATGGGTGCCGAGGATGGAACGGTCTGGCAGTATGACATTCTGTCTGGCAAGATGCAGAACTTGCTAGTCCGATGCGCTTTGCCAGTGAGGGATATCGCGGTGACGAGAGATGGGGAGTGGGCGGCTGTAGCAAGCGAGTGAGTATGACATTGACGCATGCAGGAAATTGATTGCTAAAGCAGCTGAACTAGTGAACTCACTGTCAAAATGGTAAAAATTGACGACATGACGCAAGTGAAGTACCTTCGGGAACAGTCTAAGGGAACAAAGCACGTCACGTTCGATCCCAATGGCCGATATGCAACGGTCTCCGGCACTGACGGCATTCTATACATCTACTCTTTGCACGAGGAGGAGCCGGAACTGGTCCGCAAACTTGATGGGGTGATTCGACGACTGGAGCCGGATGCCGAGGCGACATCGCGAGCTGTGTGGCACCCAGACGGTACTGCATTTGCCTCTGCTGAAGCAACAAGAGAGATCTCAATCTACTCCACTACTGAGTGGAAGAAAGAGAAGACGTTTGCTGGGGGGCATACCGGCGATATCACGGCATTGAGCTGGGCCCCGAACGGAACTCTTCTGGCTTCTGCAGCGGCAGACGGACAAATTGTGCTCTGGGAAGCAAAGACGCAGAAGATCCTACAACGATACGACTTTGGAAATGTTATGAACCTTGCATGGCACCCGACTAAAAACTCACTTTCATTCACGACCTCAGATGGAGAGCTTTTCATCTATGATAACTTTGTACCGAAAGACCACGAATCACTCCTGCAGAAGTCCCTGCAGGCTGCCCCTATTTTCCCTGGACCTCTAGGCGAGATCTCTAGCAATGTCCAGCGAACAACGTTGGCAGATCGGTCCAAGGAGGCCATCCAGCGAGCTGCCAGAAGGGGAACTCCAGACTCGCTGGATGATATCCTAGGCGGCGATGAAGAGATGGGCGATTTTGTTGATGACGATGATGGAGCTGGCTATGCCGAGGATGAGCTCAATATCTATGGAAAGCGGCCAAATGGTCATCTCAATGACATTGGTGGCCCCGACAGCAAGCGAATTCACTCTGGCGGTAGTTTGCAGCCCTTGGCCCACCCGCCTCTCCAGCCTGGCAGCACGCCATGGGCTGGAAGTAGGAGATATCTCTGTATGTTTTGACACCATCTTGGTATAGGATGGAATTGCTAACATGGCCAGGTCTGAACTTGATTGGTGCTGTCTGGACTGTTGACCAAGAAACGCACCATACTGTGACTGTGGAATTCTACGACCGAGAGGCTCATCGAGACTTCCATTTCACCGATCCTTATATGTACGACAAGGCTTGTCTGAGTGAGTTTGGTTCTGGTTTGGCTTTTGGTTGATTAGTTGCTGATCAAGTATAGATGACAACGGTACACTTTTCGCCAATAGTCCTTCTGACGGCAGCGCTGCCACTATCTTCTATCGACCGCATGAGACATGGACTACGCGAGCGGATTGGCGAACTCAATTGCCCGAGGGAGAACAAGTTCGAGGTATGCGTTATTGAAGGGCTGTCCCCATTGTATCATTTTGCTAATATATCATTAGCTTTGGCGCTCAGCGACTCATACATCGTCGCTGTGACATCAAAGGACTATGTCCGCGTGTACACCCTCTTTGGGACCCCTTTCAAGGTATACAGGCAAAAGAGTCAAGCCGTCACTTGCGCGGCTTGGCGCGACTACATTATGAGCATCGGCAATGGACCCATTGGGGTCGATGGCCGCCACACGAGTTTACGATATACGGTGGAGAATGTCAAGCGTGACGAAATTTGCCAGAACGAAGATACAGTGGCCCTTCCGGAAGGGGCTTCATTGCAGAGTGTTTTCTTCTCCGACTCCGGGGTATGTACTAGTTGAACTAAAAGAACGAGCACAACGAAACTGACCATATGCCTAGGATCCTTGCATCTACGACTCCACCGGTGTCCTACTGGTGCTACAGCATTGGCGCACACCCGGGCAAGCCCGGTGGGTTCCTCTCCTTGACACAAAGCAAATGGCACGTCTCGCAGGCGGACGGAAAGAAGAGACGTACTGGCCAGTCGCTGTTGCACAAGACAAATTCCACTGCATCATCCTCAAGGGTGGCGACAAAAACCCCTACTTCCCACGGCCACTTCTCAGCGAGTTCGACTTCCAGATCCCTATCTCCAGTGTTCCCCCGAAAGATTCCCACGAATCCGAAGAAGCAGCAGCAGAGCGTACTGAGGGATCCCGATTCGAGGAATCATTCGTACGCGGAAATATCCTCCTATCTCTCTTCCGCGACTTGTTGTCCTCAACCAATGCGACAGCAAGTCAGCGTTCTGATATGGCGCGGAGAGAGCTCGACCTGGATAAGAACTTGCTGCAGATGCTGGCCATTGAATGCAGAGAGGGCGAGGAGCGTGGAATGAAGGCACTAGAGTTGGTGGCTATGATGACGGACCGCAACGGCAAGATGCTCGAGGCAGCTGCTAAGGTTGCACAGCGTTATGGACGTGGTGTTCTGGAGGATAAGATCCGCGATATGGCAGAGCGACGAGTCATGGGAATGGGCGATGATGATGAATTGGCTTGATTTGAGACTCAGGTCTACTCTGTTCCCATTTCCTTTACACGTCAGTAAACTTACATTACTCGTGCCTTGAATGGAATCATCGAGGAAACCAGGAATAAGATATCCCAATGTAACTATGCGCTGTATTTTTCTAGATGGTCTGGTTGTATACGGGCCGAACGTGATTGGCTCCGGCAACGTCATTGGAGATAGGAACTTCTCCATCTTCAACTTTCCAACTTTCAACCACCTATTCTCCATGGCTTGACGACACAATACACTGGAATCAGCTCAATGATTGAAGCATAATGCCGAAGCTGGTCTATCCGCGAATCTCTCTTCCCCATAAGAGCCCTGCGTCAGCACGATCTTTTGCTTCGCTGTCACGACTACAGCTAGCACAACCGCGCCATGGCCTTCTCAATGAGCCCTGGCTTCCTCCAGCATCAGCCTCCCTACTTCCAACAACATATTTTTCTCCGAGCCGTGTACGCGGGGATCTAGACGGAGGGGAAAGAACCCCTCAGAGAAACGACCATAAGCCACCCGATGAAAGGACCTTGAAGCTCGGAAAGAGTAAGCATGTCGTCTTAATCACTGTTCAGATTTGCTGGCCTAACATTATAAAAGCATTACGGACCCTATCACCCCTACTCCCGACCCTTTTGTACAACACTCTTCCCACCAAAATCCTCGCCCCAAACGTGAACCTCCATCTCTTCCCATCCACACATCCACACCTCCCAACTGTCAAAGGACGCACCCTCTACCGCGCAGCACTATGGACAGTCCCAGTCGCATGGAGCAGCGTCCCCTTACTCGGAAACGTGAAGCTACAGATCCTCAGCGAAAGGATCGTGCGCTCAGGCACACTACTCGATCCATTGCGCAACGGTGAACACCACGACTGCGGCGATGAGCGACTAATAGTCCGTTGGAAGACCGAGCCTCGAACAGACAGCGGATCTTTCCACAACCCGTCTCCCTCGTCGAAGACGGGTTCAACAACCGCATCTCAAAATTCTCCTTCGTTACAAGAGAGTCATCTCTCCGCTTCGAAAAATGGTACTAATAAAGGCCTGAGTGTGCTTCTCGGGGGCGAAGAGCCTATCTTTAAGCTCTCAAAAGAAGAGCAGTTTACTGGTCTATTTATCTTCTCTTTTGACGAGGAGGGTCGGATCTTGTCTCATACCATTGAGCATGCCGATGAAGCGGATGGCTGGGAACGGACTGCGAAGTTCGTTACTTTGACAGACTGGCTTATTGGCAAGGCGCGTGGCTCGTTGGATCCTGTCACAAATCCTGGGCTGGCCATGGAGACTTGTCAGAATCATGGGTTTGATTCGAGTCACCGCCGGAGACCATGACAAAAAAAAGATGCTACCGAATTGATGGAGCTTGCCCCATGCCATATAGAGGAAGCGGAAGCTTGTACTAGAGATACAGCTTCGTTTTGATCTCATGTGGCCTTTGGACAAATTCCCAGACTCCTCTCTTTCACCTGAACTTGTCTATTTCGCAGGACCATAAGGACATCTCCACCATCGCCACTCCTCTATGTATTATTATACCCGGTTACTAGATTATTGAGCAAATAAATCAAATAAGCAGTTGTACATTCGACTAGAAATACAATTGAGTACTCCAAAAACTCTCAATACATTTGCCAATATAAGCGCAATGAACAACATGATAATACATGCACGTAACGCATCGACCAGCGACACAATACGGCCAACCAAGTCTGAAATGACACAATCACTCGGTCTTCTTGTGCACAGCAGGCGATTTCAACAAAGTAAAAACACCAACCGCAACAACAGACATGGCCACACCACCAGCAGTATAAGCAGCCTCACGACCAGCCCACCAGAACAAAGAGCAGAACACAATAGGACCAGTGGCCCTACCAGCCTGCCCCCATCCTCGCAGACGACCCATAACCGCGCCACGGTCCGCATCCTGTGCCTCGAAGCTTCCCAAGCTGTTCAATCCCGTTACAACGGTAGCGCTGGTAACAGCCAGCAAAGCGCCGGCTGCATACAGGCCCGAGGGAGAAGAAACTCGAGCAAGACAGAAAAATGAGATGGCACAGGCTACGACACCGGCGCGGAGGGTGATCAGAGAAGGAAGACGACGGACTAGAGTGCCCTGAAGGAGAGAAGCGATCAAGCCCATTAGAGATAGGAGACGGCCATTCAATGCTGCAGGACTAGCTTTTGTAGCTGTTCCTGCATAGAGAGTGGTAGTTAAGAATGGAAGAGAGAATTCTAGGCCAGAGAAGGGAAGCAAGAAGAGGAAATGAAGAGCGTTGAGAAGGGCAGGACTGTTAGTATGGACGCGATTAACAGGGACAGACTTCTTCTCATCTGCCTTCTTACTCGACGCATCTCCCTTTGTCTCCGTGTTCTCGTCCTCACGCTGAAGTGCCGTCAACCGCGGATGCGTCTCCGGCAAACAAGCCCAGAGATAGGTAGTCTCGACAAAGATCAAAGCTAAGGAAACAATGGCAGCCACGATAAAGGGATTCTCGGCAACGATATTAACAGAGCTAAGGGCCGCACCGAGCATTGGACCGAACGTAAATGCAATGCTGAAGCAAGCTCCAACCAACGCCATGGACGAGCCACGATGCTCAGCGTCCGTGACATCCGCCACAATGGCATTGGCCATTTGCACATTAGCCTCGCTCAAGCCACCGATAATGCGGCTCGCGAGAAAAGTGCGGAAGTCCCGGGCTGACACCCATAGCGCGACGCTCCACAGATTGCCCATCATGGAGATGAGGAGGGCGCGACGACGGCCATAGCGGTCGGAGAGGCGGCCAATGACTGGGGCGGCGAAGGCCTGGAGGAGAGAGAATAGTGAACCGAGGGCTCCGCCGAGGAGGACAATGTCATAGCGCGAGTCAATGGGGCGGGCGAAGGCGTTCTTATAGGCGTTTAGGTAGTGGAAGATGCGGTTGAGAAGGGAATCCGGGGATGGATCTTGGGCGCGATAAAATGAGAGCAGTGAGGGAAAGAGCGGTAGAATAAATGTAAAGGACATCTGGAGGTATTGTTAGTTTTTGGGCCAGAGTGATTGGTGGCTTGGAGGGGCTTCATCTTACTAGATCTATCAATAATGAAAGCATCAGCACCTTCAACACCTGCTTACGTTGGGCGCTAGCGACGGCCATGTTTGCCGGCGCTGGGTATATATTGCTGAATGGGATTGAGGGCTTGAAGGAGAAAAGAGAGTAAGAAAATGAAAGGAAGGGAGTTAACAGATGTACTCGCGATTTGATCAGCGAAGCTCCACTGATTGCGTGCGTAGTTGATTTCCTATCGTGTTTTAGCGTGGCTTGGCCAACGGAGTGTCACGTGTTTATATACTTTCTTTTCGAGTCCAAGTGTCTACATCTACATCTACATCTACATCTACAAAGAATAGAGAAAGCAGCGGTGTAAGTCACCTCAATCAATTCCGCTTCATATCCGAACTAAGCCTGTCCACCGGTCCATTCACACGCGCCGATAAAACATTAGCCATAGAATACATATGTATGTCGTGAGAGCAAAGCTCTCTGAAGATCGGGAATATGCACGCTCAAAAAAATAGCAGAACATGGTCCATAAGACTTTGGCAGAGCCAGACGAAGAGATCAAAAAGTGACTCTCCGTGAAGAAAATTCGTTGCGTTCGTGATCCATGAAATCGGACCAGTGATCGTAGAGGGGAATAATGAAAAAGCAGATGGCCCGGAGATCACTCGATAGAAAACCATATCGAGGAAGCAGCCCGTGGAAAGCAGACTTCAGCGGATTAGTTAGAAGTGCCACCGTTGGTCTTTGGCTGGGCTTCAGCAGGCGAGCCATTGCCGCCACCGCGTCCACGACCGCCACGACCGCGACCACCACCACCACCACGACCACGGGCCTGTTTGCCATCGCCTCGGCCTCGGCCACCACCGCGAGATGACTCACGACGTGGGCCCCGTCCGCGACGTCCATTGGATTGGCCCTTGGCACCGTTCTCTTGCGCAACGTCAGCGCCAGCAGAACCGTTGTTCAAACCGCCATCGGCGCTGGCGGGTGTGGCCTGGAGCCCAGTGTCGGTTTCGGCAGGGTCGCGAGGAAGCTCGACATTACCGGTGTCACCGGCCTGGTCAAAAGAGCCATAGCTCTTCTCCGCAGTAGTGTTGGCAGCATCGGAAACGAGAGTCTGGGCAGGCGGGGTGAGCTGATCGTTCTCGGAGGCAGGGGCGGCTTCGGCACCGAAAGAGGCATCCTGAAGCTCGGTAAGGCCAGCGTTGGTCATGGTAGGGTCAGAGGCGGGGGTGGTCTCGGGGACAGTCTCGGTGATCTCCTCGGCGGGAGCAAATCTGTTGGAGGCCTGCTTCACGTCACCATCTAAGGATAACCAATATCAGCTAACAGACCCGGCAATATGGAGGGGTAACCCTCTACTCACAGGTGAACTCAAGCGCATCACCCTCGACACCAATGACCTTTTCACCGGCACCATCAATCAACTTCACCATTGCATTGACTGCATCCTGAGAGCCACCGTAGACCTGGAACAGGACACCCTCAAATGCAAGACTCTCCAGAGTAGTAGCATCACCCTCGCGGCGGAGGTTGGCCGCGGCGCACAGGAACTTACTCATGGTGAGCAGGCGCTCGCGCAGTGCCTTTGCGCTAGACTCAGTCGCATCCGCAATAGCATTTCCACGGACAGCTTCCAGCTCCTCCTTGTGCGCCTTCAACAGTTCAGCCTTCTGGGAGGCCAACTTCTCTTCGTATTGGGCAGCGAACTGCTTATAGATGGCAATCTGCTCTTCAATCTGGTTGACGGCAGCTTGAAGAGAAGGCTTCTTCATGGCCTGAGCCTTCTGGTCGTTGTTGATCTTCTTCTCCTCGATGAGTTCGTCGAGGGACTTGCCGGGGTTCTCGGCGAGAATGGCATCGAGCTTGGCGGTGGAGTTCTGTGATGAGGAGGGGACATTAGCACAAAATGGATTGAAGATGATGCGCAAATGAGTTTGTAGCTTAGATGCTTACTAGTTTCTTAACGGCATTGCGGAGAGACCTGAACGAAGTATATGGTTAGCTCACTCTGTCCGAAAAGTCATTGCGCATTGGACCAGTGCCATGCAACAAGATTCACGCGAGGGGAATCATACTTCTGAAGCTCCTTCAGGTGGCCATTCTCAATTCCATTGGCATCAGTAACCGGGCTCTCAGGGTCAGCCTTGGAGGTGCTCGAAGCTCGGGAGAGGCCCTTCTCCTTGAGGTCTTTGGGCTTCTGAGTGGCGGAAGCGGGAGCCATGATGGAATGTGGGTAACACAGGTAGTGAAAGTATTAAAGGCCTGTACAGGGGCACAATGGTGAAAGCGCAAAATGCGAAGTGATGATCAGGAGAAGAAGTGTTAAGAAGGAAGAATCAATATGCGGGTCCGAAACCCTTGGTCGGTGTGTGCAGCCACTTTGGGCGCTCTTTACTAGCAAACCAGCACTTCTTTCTACGCTGCCTATGACTACAAGGCTCCGATTCAGTGAAAAGTTATCATAACGTCAATTCATTATTTCAGTCTTGTTGGGTATCATATCCCAAGCGCCAGTACGCCACCAGTGCCCAAAATCACAGTATCTATGCAAGTCCGTCAAATTCCAGTACTGTCCCATTGCCACTTGTCGCGAAATCAACTGATGCCGAGGGGTATTTTTTTCTATCCCTGGAACTTGCGCAATGTTTTCTAAATGAGTATCAAGGCTCGTCAACTATGATCCCTAGAAGTTGTCTGGACCAAGCCCGGATCTCGTCAGTCCGATAAGACATACCTCAGTAACCTTGCGCACCGTATTGGCCGAGATGTTCTTCTCGCCAGATTTACGCGACTTGATTGAGGCCTCGCGCATTAACCTGCAAAATGGTATTAGTCTATGGCTGTTTCAGACACGTCGTGGTCGGGGCGTAAATTGGAGGGCAGCAAGACAAAAGAGGAAGACATACTCTTGCATGAACAGCATATAGTCGAGGAAGATCTGAACAGAGCGGGTTAGGGGTGTCTCTCATACGGGCTGGGATAGCGTACCAGGATGTCGGCATTTTTGCTCAAGTTCCGGTTTGAGTGGGCTTTCACAATGCGCTTGACTGTGCCTCGTGGATACAGCTTTTGAGCCATGGCGAGTGTAGGGGGAGAAAAGGATGTTGACCGGAGGTGGGGAGCTCCGGAATCTGATCCGCGTGACCCCCAAACATTGTAACATGTATACTTTCCAACCCCGACCTACATAAGAATTATTTCTACTATTTCGAGAGATATAGGATTGAACCTAAATAATTACATAAATCGTGTCTTATAGTTCAATTATGTCTTGTTTCTACAAAAGTGCAAGTTCAAGTGTTCCCCATACTAGTTTCTCAAATCATATTGTCAAAGGCAGTCATGCAACCTTCAATGTATTTGAAATTCCAGATGACTCGGGACTGTGCCTCGGAATATCAAGAAAACATCACCTATATTCCATATGCATCTGATACAGTGACTACGTGTGTTCCGTCTTAACCCCCAATAACTCGGCAGAAAACTAGTAGCTAGTTATGTTGCTCTTCAATATAACTTACACTGACAGCATTGATTCTAGATTGACATTGTCATCAAACCTGTTGTCATCTGGATCTTTCCAGAAAAGTTCTAGATCATCTTCATCCGCCCCTTCATCCACAGTCCTGCCATTTGGAATACAAGGATCAACGCCTTCAAAAATCTTCAGTCCTGGCAGTTGGCATCTTTCTCACGCGCCAGTTGCTCAATTTGGGCATTGACATCTAGATCAGATTCGTAATCCAGATAGGGAGTATCTGCGGGCTGTCCGTGCCCGTAAATCCGGAGAGACTTAAGAGTAGACGGGATATGATCAACAAGATTGAAAGACTTTGAGTCAAGCTGCTTCTTGCCATCTCCTGCACCTCGAGCTAGATATCATAGTCTATGGGCTCCAATACTGATATTCTTGAGCTGTGGAAAGTCTTTCAGGGAGACGCGCAAGGGTGCGATTTCTGGGGCGGCTAGCTCCAGTAGCTCGTCTGCCCATTGCTCCTCATAATCTTTTCGGTCCTCTTCGGTCATCCTATCTTCTTGACGGGATTGATATCCCTTATCATACAAGTCTTGCCGAGGTGTCTGGCTCTCTAGATCCAGATTCAAATCTTCTAGAGTCTGGCGATGCATCCAAAGGGACGAATATCGGAGTCGCGCATAACACGGGGTTGCCACCCTCAGGGTATAAACGACCACCGATGGTGGAAATAAAACTTTTCAAGGCCTTGGCGGATTTGATAATACGGCAAAGATCCCAAATTTCCATTACAGAATGTGTAAAGCTGATTTTGCTGTAGTTGACGGAACGGGGAGGAGGTGGTATTCCGGCTTCATTGCTCCACGTTACCAGCTTATAAAAGCGACCGATTCAACAGCCGGTAGTTTGCGGACCATATTGAGACGATGATAATATGGATCTTCAACGTACTCATTGGACTCGTTAAGCTTATCGTCTGGGTGGAAGCTAATATGAATTTTGGCAGTATGGCACCGACTCTGCAGACGCAGAGGCCCGACAGCACAATCTTTGGAGAAGATTCACCCTTTCATAATTCCCAGCAGATGAAGATCGAATGTATTCCAGTAATGGATGCATTGAAATGAATTCAAGATTCGGGGCAGCTGCAACCAAGAGCGTAATGAAGGCATCTTTGAACTGAAGTGCTTCCGTGCTTGAATCAGATCTGTATTGCTAGTGAGTAACAAAAGCGTAGCACTCCGTGGGATGTGCTTAGAAAGAGATAAAAGCTTACTGGAATTTAGCAGGGTTGCGTGAAAGCATGGATAAAATTGACTCGCGCTCCTGTGCATCTTGGAAGCCGGCGCCTAGGATTGCTTGCTTGAGTCTGTCGATTTCCTCGGGGGAAGCACAAAATCTTGGATGTGATTTTCAAAGTCAGGATCAAACTCAATCATTCCAGTTCCGTAAAGGTCCACACGGCGAAGATAATCTCCAAGGCAGGGAGTTCGTAAGATGGCAAGTAATGTGTCTAGGCCAGCTTGGAGTACAGCTTCATGGGTCTGCGGGTACTTCTCTCTGCCAAACTTCGATTGATGATATTTCTGAAGATTTTTCACATCGCACAGAGCATGTATTCCACGGCTTTGCTTCGACAAGGCCATGGCGTCGTATACCGAAAGTTTGTTGATCACGTTGAGCAGCAATTCATCGGGAAGATTCTGCAGGGACGGCATTTTTGCCCGTGTAGCGACACTGCGTTGAATCAAAGCCTTGGGAAGGCACAGAGTTCGGACATGTGGGCGTAAGTTGAAGGAAAGGAGGTGCAAAACACTGGAACTTGATGTCTTGGGGTGAGGCCCTTGGCAGATATCTGTTTGACCAGTTCACTACCAACAGTTTTGCGTTGACAAGTGCGCAAATAACCATGAGTTATCATACACCCGTAGGCTAATTCGCTATTCCAGAGCGACCATATGGTACTCAATCGATCAAAACACGGCTCGGGACGTATCACATCAACAAAGTTGATTTCCTCGCAGCATGCTCTGAGACTATACTCAAAGAAGTAGAATGGTGTTCTTAGTAGGATTTGTACTGACACCGATGTTGATTTGTACTTTAAGTCTCATACTATTGTACATTTCAACGGGGTAGGAGGAAGCGCCATGCAAGTATGCCAGTGATCGAAACAACCACTGCACGCCATGCTAGGAATACATAGATGGCTTGGCGAATACGCTGGTAATATCCGCGCAACAAGATGCCCACAGCATAGTTAGTCCCATCTGTGGGACGGTCTTTCAGACCATAGTATCTTGCCACACCAAGACCCAAGACCCCTACAGGACCAGTCCAACACCTTTTATCGGACGCTGGGCGAGGCCGAGTGCCTGTAGTAGCATTGAAGGTATTACGCTTCCTCAGACCGGAGGTCATTAAGCCCACAATAAAACGCAGATCAGGGGCAGTAAAAGTAGGATATTTCCACTCTTGAATTGAGCGGTGGGGTGGGAGCATGTTGAGGAAATCAGTCATGACCCCGAGGGTCAGTCCCCAAAGCAGAAGTGGGCGAGCAATGTCAGTCGAATCCGCTTGGTTGTTAGCATTAGGGATAAAGCCTTTAACCGTAGTGCAGTACTGGCTTTCGGAGGGGATTAGTCGGATGGCCGAGAATTGCATTTGGCCTATCAAAAAACGGATTGCGGCACGAGGCATGAATCCACCTGGCAGTGCCAGTCGCAACCGTTGGGACACATCCACATTTTCAACGGTTCGTAGAGAAGGTGACAGGAGAGCCCGCAGCGGGACCCAATGGATTGATGCTACTTCGGTGGGTTGCAAACGAAGAGGTGGAATGGTGCTGCTGGTGACGACGAACACGAAGGGACAAAGAACCATTAGACTGCGGCTGGCGTTAGTAAACTTCTTGCAAGAATGAAAAAGGATCGTACATTTCAGACCCGAAGTTGGCATAGACCACTCGCTCCGGGAGGTTTCCCACAGCAATACAATCTGGGCCAGTCAAATCAATACCAATTTCCTCCTCAGCCTCCCGAATGGCCGCAGCTTGATCATCCTCATCTTGGGGTCTCTCTTCCCGCCAGGTAATGCTACGTGACCAGTCCATCGATCCCCCACCCGGGAGGAGCGCTTGATGAACAATACTTCCGGCTCGCCGTTTTGTACCCAGTCCTGCGCAAAGAAATCTATGAGACGTTTCTCAGTCGGCGATTCGGACTTATCATGGAAGGAGGCTTCGGGCCAGTGGTCATAGCTTGGTCGGACGTGGAGAATCACAGCGACTGAGGCGCGTTTTTTGACGGAGGGTGGGTTGGGAACGTGGGGAAATGGTTGGCGATGTAAATCGTGGAGACCATCAAGAAGATGGGTGAAGAGCCCAGGGCACCCTATATCGACGATGTCGTTCTGCATAGGGTACTGCGCACTGATTTGCACACTGATTTGATACTGCCAATTAAATAAGCATCGAGAACCTCCCGAGGTCTGGAGCGGAGAGCTTACCGCGCCAGTTGAAGGCAAGGGAGGGTGGCCCGTGCCCTGGAACCGGTAATGTCCGAGGTACTGCATGGTTTCGGATGAAAGTAACCCCGTGTACCGAGTAAAATAAGGTCCGGTTATATGCGGGCAAGAGTTAATCCGGTCTGTGTTCGGTCTGTGATTTTCCGGTTTCTCTTTTAGTTAGTCATGTGACTTTGTTTGCCTCTCACGTGATGCTCTAGGTCTTGATTCGCCACCCAAGCTCTCAGATATCCTCGGCCATTGATTGGTCACAATTGAGCACGTGCGTCTATCGCTGGCTCTACGCATTCGTTTCAAGCTGCCGCCATCGCTTAATCTCAAGCTATTTTTTAGGCTTCTTTTGCATTTGCCCGTGAATAGGATCAAAAGCTTCACAGCCTCTCTATTAAACGCCTTCTGGGCATTGGATTGTCTCTTCGTTTCTCTTATCTTTTACCCCCTTCGCAAAGTGCGCAGGGCCGTACCTGAGTAACCAGCTGCACAACTCCATTCTAAACCAGACTGGCTCAAAATGCGGTTTGGGAAGACCCTCCGCACTGCGGTGTACCCTCCCTGGAAAGGAAAGTACATTGACTACGCCAAGCTTAAGACACTGCTGAGGGAGCATGATGTCACTGGGGAGGATGCTAGCGACTCGGAGGACGATCAATGGACCGAGCAAGATGAGGAGACCTTTGTACAGGAACTGCTAAATGTGCAGCTGGACAAAGTGAATTCCTTCCAGGCAGAGACCTCACAACAACTCCGAGAACGTACAACGGCCTGTGAGGCTAAATTGCGACCATTAGCACCCGGCCCGGAGCAGGATGCCCCCGCGCTCGACGATCAGAAGAAGAGAACAATTGCTTCGGAGGTTCTTCAAGAGCTGGACAATATTACAAAGGAAGTCAGTGCATTGGAAAAATACAGCCGGATCAACTTTACAGGCTTCCTCAAGGCTGCAAAGAAACATGACCGAAAGCGTGGAGCCCGATACCGAGTGAAACCGTTGCTCCAAGTGCGACTGTCCCAATTACCTTTCAACTCGGAGGACTACTCGCCACTTGTCCATCAGCTCTCGGTGATGTACTCCTTTGTTCGAGAGACATTGAGTCAAGACATCGTGCAACCAAGAGAACCAGAGCGTGGGTTTGGCCGTGATACATACTCTTCCTACAAATTCTGGGTCCACGAAGACAACATTTTGGAAGTCAAGACTTACATTCTTCGCCGTCTCCCCGTCCTTATTTATAACCCCGGAACCTCCAAGGACCTCGATACCCTGGCCGAAGACCCGACCATTACCTCCCTATACTTTGACAACCCTCAATTCGACCTCTACAACCAGAAGGTTGCACGAGCCCCCGAGGCCGGATCTTTGCGACTACGCTGGACGGGGTCGCTGAAAGACAAGCCTGCTGTATTCTTGGAGAAGAAGATTGTCACCGACGAAGACGAAAGTCGACAGGTCAAGATTCAACTCAAGAATAAGCACGTCAAGGAGTTTTTGGACGGCGAATACCGCTTCGACAAGAAGGTCAATCGTATGGAGGATTCTAACAACGGAGAGTCGGCAGCTGCCGAAGCTCTTAAAAAGGATATTGATGAGCTCCAATCTTTCATCAAGGAGAATGACCTGCAACCCATGCTCCGTGCCAATTACACACGTACCGCATTCCAAATCCCTGGTGATGACCGCATCCGCATCTCTCTCGATACGAACCTTGCCCTGATTCGGGAGGATTCTCTCGACAGCGAACGTCCGTGTCGCGACCCAGCTGAGTGGCACCGCGCCGACTTGGACGACGCCGACATGACCTATCCCTTCAACAATATCAGAACTGGAGAGATCAACCGCTTCCCTCACGCTTTGCTCGAGATCCAACTTCGGGGCAAGGGCCACAACACCGAGTGGGTCAACGATCTAATGGTTTCCCATCTGGTCAAGGATGCTCCTCGTTTCTCCAAGTTTGTGCACGGTGTTGCCTCATTGTTCGAAGACCATGTCAACAGTTTCCCCTTCTGGCTGAGTGAGCTGGAAAACGATATCCGCCGTGATCCCGAAACTGCATTCCACGAAGAGCGAGAGAGATTGGCACGACGAGCGGAGGAAGATATAGCAGTGGGTAGCTTCATGGGTGGAGCAAATAGTCCAAGTACTCGGGCGCTTGTCGGTTCACCCTACCACCACTCCTACGCAGGCTCCCCCTCTGTCGTACGGAGACAATCAGGCATCACCGAGCCTGCACCAAGGGCCTCCCGCCCTTCAATTCCTGAAATTTCTTCAATCCAACACCAAGAACCCGAATATGTTGATGAACCAGAAGAAGAGCCTCAACCGCCTTCTCGTCTCGAGTCAATTCTTCAGGCCGTGGGATTCTCCCCCGAACGCTGGTTTGGACAGAGCCCTGTTTCCCTGCCTCCTGGTGTCCGACACCCTGGTGTCTGGATCAAGGACGCTGGCCCCGTTCGTGTGGAGAGTAAGGTCTGGCTTGCTAATCAGCGAACCTTCATCAAATGGCTTCACATCAGTATCCTGTTGTCGAGTCTGTCCCTCGGTCTTTACAATGCTGCTGGCAAACACAACAAGATTGCCCAGACCCTGGCTGTGGTGTACACATTCTTTGCCATCTTCGCTGCAGTATGGGGATGGTTCATGTACGAGAGACGGGCGCGACTCATCCGTCAGCGAAGCGGGAAGGACCTGGATAACATGATCGGTCCTATCGTTGTCTGCATCGGTTTGGCCATTGCTTTGGTCTTGAACTTTGTGTTCAAGGTGAGATATTCTCCTATGCCTTTCTAACCCCGAATCTCACTAACTTCCAAACAGTACACCTCGGCACTTGAGCAAAATCAGAACCCCCGTCTGTCAGCATGCCTATTCAATCCAACTCGTCGACTGTATTCGACAGTAACTCGGGGGCTCAGTGGGCCAGCCAGGCCCAGCAGGTGCTTTAATGGAGTTCTGTTTAATTATGTCACAAATGTAAGAGTTGGCCAGTAAATATCTCGGTTGGCTCTTGTCCAGATTACAATTTTTGGACATGCATCTATGGAGCTTACGGTGTAAATGTATCGAATAATAGCGTGTACCTCAATAACAAATACTTTTCACTTGTCACTTTCATCCTCTCTTAATGCCTTAAGCTTGCTGATCACCGAAGTACATCGACGGCCACAACACGAAGGGCCCCGGTGGGGAAAAGGCAGA